TCGTTTGCCCCTTTTCGGAGTTACACCGGCAAAATAAGCACTTGCATCCGTGGTGTCAGGACAGTCGCGTCATGAGGTTCACAAGGTCATAGTACTTTTCTACTTGACACAATTCTCGCTTATCGCGGCCCATCACGCACAAGACCATATCAATCATACCGTTCAATTGGTTTTCATCCGTCAACTCTCTCCATTGCCTCCTAAGCCCCCGGCCGATTCTTTTCCACGGACTGTGCAAGACATCGTGCACAGCCAAAACACTCGTCGCACCTCTCTCTCCGCGCTTAGCTATATGCAACGACAGCCATCCGAGTCCTCAGAACAGATTTGCCAGTCCAACAACACCCCAGCTCCAAGCTCATCCTCTCAACATGGCTTTCTTCACCATGGGCCCAGCGACATCCGTCAAGTCCGCTCCGCAAGCTCTAGCTGTGGCTCACACAGCGCCTCGCCGCACTCTGTGTCGGAACTTGACCGTGAACCTCGCGATGCAGTCGATGCCGATAAGCTCGACGAGAAACTGCGTGGATTGAGTCTTCACGGGAAGCCCAAAACAAGTCGAAATCGCCCTATCACTGCCGGTCAGAGAGTTTCAGACTATGAAAACGCCCTTACGCCGCCTACTCCAAGGCAAGCTCTAGGGTTCAAGGTCATTCGACGCTCTGACTCATCTGATGGCCCTCAAATGACAGATTTTCCGAATGGTTAGTTTTTGCGTACTTGAGTTTTGTTTTCTCGGCAGAAGCGCTTGCTATCATGACGGCTACATCACAGCTGGCAGAACAGCCATCCGCCAACGTATTCTTGTGCTAACCGCTGGCCGTTGCAGAGATCCTGACACACATATTATCACATCTGCATCCTGATTCCCATGCCGCCGTGGCTTTGGTGTCGAAACGTTTCTATGCGCTGGTAACGACTCCACATGCATGGCGTATGGCATTCATGCGATACTTCCCCGGGCATACTTGTTTGGATACAACATCTGCGAAAAGAACTGCCGATCTCTGGGCCGGGTCGACCTCTGATGTCGTGCGATCTGACATACGCTACTTTGGCCGCCTAACCCCTCTTGCCACTTGGCGGAGCGAGTACCTGTTTCGAACTCGGCTGATGAGAAGTTTGGCACGAGGCAAGCCTGGAAGTAGCTCCGGTGGTATTGGTGCTTCCGGAGGAGCAAACAAATCTTCCAAGCGTAGGAGTGCTGTCCTGACATACAATTCAAAGCTCCCATGGCTGGTTACCAATCTTCATGCTGTCTTCTCCAACGGTAAGCGGCCCCCGCGCGCCATCCAGGGAGCTGGTGATCTTGGTGTTGCTACCATGGGCGATCCGACAAGTGGCAAGATTGAGAAATGGGGTCTTGAGGACCCATTCTCGGCTGCTCAGTTGGAAGAAGTGGTGCCCAATCTTGTTCCCTATGGTCTCGGAGACGGACCCGTCGCTGTCCCCAATGTCATGGATGTCAGTCAACCGTATGGTGTTATAGCTGGCGAAGGTTTCCCAGGCGGTCGCGCTCACTTTCGAGGCATCAATGAGTCTTGTGGTCGCTACCTTGGTGGTGACACTGGAGTAGTTGACACGTACCCAGATGTACCCAAGATTCCAGAAATGTCGGATGCCATTTGCAGTCTGTGGATTGCAAAGTCGCCGGCCGTCCCAGCCGCCACCCAGTCTATGTGCGGTATGTTGACGGGTTCTGCCTTGGGCGTTGTCACTGCCTACTCACTTGGAAGCGATCCTAATGGTCCACGATATGCCAATGGCGACATGACGGCCCGATGGGTTCTCAGCCCCGGCGTGCCAATCATTTCACTCAAGGTTGATGATAATTACAGTGTGAAGCGAAAGTCGTCGTTCAGAGCCTGGGCCGTAGCTCTTAATGCTTTAGGCGAAGTCTACTATTTGACAGAGAGCCCCGTGACTACACTTAGTCGCGGCAAGGGAAACGATGTCATTAGACATGCATGGCTTGCCGGTAGGACAGCATACTGGCACCTGATAGAGTCGACTAGGCGGACTGCCAGACCGGATGAGTTGGACAAGAACGTGGTACGAGGAGCCTATACGCCACGCTCACCATCAGATGACATGATCCTTAGCAAAGAGCAACTCGCAGCTGAAGCTCGCGAAATCGAAAAGTACCTTCGCTACAAGCCTTCCCACTTTCGCAAGGTATGCGAGGGCTGGGATATGAGACGAAGGCTCGAGGTTGATTTTGCCGGCGATGATGGCAAAGGGGCCGGAGAAGGCATTTTCGTCATTGACTGCGGACTTGCTGAGCAAACACCTGCTCGAGTCCTGCGGTACTGCCGGTCACTGGCTTCGCCCGTAGTGCAGCATGAACAGAATGTTCCAAAACGAGGCGGTTCTACAGCAACCGCACAGATCAGACCACGACCATCGCTCTTTGGATCGACGGAAATGACTACGGCAATGAATTGTGCAACCCCAGAACCTCAATCGCCGCACCCGCCTCCCCCGACGCCCATGTCGCCGTTGCGTGAGTCTACAGCCAACCTGCACGACTGGAACTGTACTGCTTTTGCGCTCAAGGGCGGCCAACAGGCAGTCAATATCACCGCTAGCAGTTTAGACTGCTCGAGTCTCTCTCTTCTCACGCTCAGCGAGGACCCCCTGCACGTAGCAGGAGAATCTACTGCTGTACCTGGAGTTTTCACTGCAACTACGACTACCCCCACTAAGACATCAGTGGAGAAGGCTGAGCAGGCTGTTACAGAGATTCCGGGGCGTCGGGCCCGTCTGCTGGCCATTGGCACTGACACTGGAATTATCACGGTATGGAATGCTCGCGATGAAGTCGGACACCAAGCGGCACAGCCTCTGCGTGTTTTACACACGGATTCTCCCAAGATTTCGTGCCTTGCAGCGTCAGCGTTGTACTTGGTCCACGGAGGAAGTGATGGCCTCGTGCAAGCCTGGGATCCCCTTGCATCGACTTTTGAGCCTATCCGAACTCTCAATGCGCGATCCAATGGCCGTGTGCCGCGCCACATGATGACCATGAATCCAACGCTTCGGGAGGGAGACTATTCGGCAGTCGGTGCCATCTACCTAGATCCAGACCCAACGGTTCTGCGGGGCGTTGTGTCCTTTGGCGCATTTCTTCGCTACTGGACATACAGCTCAGCAAGTCACCCGACAGGCCGGAAGCGTCGAGCCAGACACTCCGATATCCACGGACGCATTGCCAGTCGCAGACTTGGCGGCACGGTCTCGGGGTACATTGCTGCAGAGGAAAGAGAGCTCCGTCGTGAAAATGAAGCCCGCGCCCGCGAGCAGGCGCACCTCCGTAAACGCTTTGGCGTTGGCGCTCTAGGCGACCTCACCGAAGAGGAGGCCCTTCGATACGCGGAAATGGTGTCCGAGGAGGCCTACCTCCAGGAAGAACAGCGTCGAGCTAGCGACTCTGCCGCTGACGCAAGTCTAGATACAGCATCATCCATTAGCGAAACCACGGTCGACACCATCACTCCGGAGCCCAGCGTCACGGATGTGAGCCCTCCCATGGCCAGCGTGACCGACAATGATGAGAGCGAATTCGAGCAGCAAATCCAGCAAGCGATTCGGCTCTCGCTGCTGGAAGGCGTAAATGATCTCGGTCAATCCCCGCGTGGTAATTCTTCTAGCGATGCCCACTTTCCTATCCAAATCAGAGTCAAGACCAAGAAAGCCAAGGGGTCTCGTTCGACATCTACTTCGCCCGGACCAACGAGTCACACCCCCGTCAACGGGAGTCGATCCAATTTAAACACTGAAGACGAAGATCTTGCCTTGGCGATGAGTCTAAGTATGCAGGAGCAGCAGGAGGTAGGGCTAGGTGTGCATGTCGGGGGTGAATTCCCACCCCTTGATACGGAGGGTGTTGGGAAGGGGAAGGGCATTAGTAGGCAGTAGATGGATATGGTTTGATTCAACGCATTGTGCTTAATTCAACATTGGCAGCTTTGTTTAAATTTACAATTGTTGTTTTCCGCTCTACAACGTTGATTTCGTTTGAATATGCTTGTGTCTGCGGCCGGGATATTTCATGCTATGCATTGATGGTACTACATACTACACGCGGGGAATACCAGTCTCTCGCAGTACTTGACGGGCGAACCCCGACGTCAATTTTTAAAAATAGTACAGCGCCCCCCTTTTTTTTGGCCTCCTTTAATAAGACGGTCCAGCCAGCGGCGTGCAGAACATCGCCAAGGGAATTGATTCAGCCCCGCTGGCTCGGAAATCTAAAAGTGCCGCAGGTCCATGACACTGCGTGCCTGGATGGGAATGGCGAAAAGGCAACTGCACAGAATCGCATGCCCGCAGGGTGAAACACGCGTTCAAGAAATGGCCATGGTGGATGGCGTACAGTCTCGGCTGGGCGCGGTGAGAGGACAGTCGCCGCCGCTCGTGTCAAACATATAAAATCAAGACCTTGGATGGCGCTGTGCCCGGCCCGGCTGGGCATATTTTGGGGCAGACGCGGTTTACATGAGCGAACGGCAGTTACACTCCAATTACGTTGGTCCCGTGGCACCCCCTTTATGTACAACTGTTTGAGGGGCGCGTTGCGGCTCAGACTGGCGGGATGCTTGTCTCAGGAGTCGGGACACGGGCGAGATGCGTGCACGGCTCATTGTTGTCTCAGCGCAAGTCCTTTTCAGAAATGGCAAGCAACCTGAGTACCTGGTGTACTTGGTTGATATATTAGGTACAGGCTCACAGCCGTCCAAAATTATTCATACATAAACCAAACCAGTCCAATGGCCCAAGAGGGAGACGGGCCATCTCCAATGCACCTTTCCAGTATTGTCGTTTGTATTTAAACGCCGAAAAAGAAAAGATACGGACTGAGGTTGGATAAAAGATAGGAGGAGAAAATGCAAAATACCGTCCCAATTCATCATCATGGTTTGATTCATGTCGATCCACCAGTTCAGAGGGGTCTTCCTGACCGTATATTCGAAAAGGACATAAAACAAAAATCATCAAGTTTATGCAAATACTAAAACGCCAATCGCTATGCAAAGTGCCACGCCCGCACAGGACAGGCTTGGTCGTATAGAAGGGCCCATACTATCATCATCGTCGTCCTTGGGGGAACGACTTGTCTCTATGGGAAGCGTATTGAGCCAGGTACCCGTCGGTGCGATGGTGGTGACGACGGTCGAACCAAATGGGTACGATAGGGTTATGGTTGACACGATGACGCCCATGGGGCCGAGTGTGAATTCTTGGCCGGCAATCACCGTGGTTGTGAGATGGGAGCCGGGCCCGACGGTGAACGTGTCGCCATTGATGATGGCGATGGAAGGGGCAATCTTGGTTACGGTCGCTCCGCCGATGATCTCGTATTTCGTGTCCGTCTCGTTGGCTTGGAAGCCGCCTAGCACAAGGCCATGCACACGAACGCCTGACGGACCAATCGTGACCGTGTCGCCCTCAACAACTTCTGTAGTGATCGGTGTATCGGGTCCGTACGTGATTGTCTTTGAATGCACAACTACGACGCTTTTACCCGCAACTGTGAGCATTTCGCCCCCCGCAACTACAACTTCGGATTCAGGCAGTGCTTGGACTGGATTGAACTTGAATGACCCTGTTCCGACTATAATTTGGTTGGCGCTGATTGTCACGCTTTGTCCCTGTATATTCGTCGTCGTGCCATGGGGCGGCATGGTCATCGTAACGCCGCCAATGGCAACCTGTGAGCCGGACAAGGACACGTCTAGTCCGCCGACAGTGGCGTTCGTCGGCGACGGGACGCCGAATTTAGTCGGGGCAGGGGGTGGTTTCGCAACAGTGCCTCCTAAACCGACAATGGCTGTGGGATAAATCGTAAACTTGCCCCCATCAACGCTGACGGTCGTGGTCTGGTCGGGTTTCAGCGAACTATATATCTCGCTGTTTATGATGACCTCATTCCCCTTTGCTGTGACATGAAACGTGGGTCGCGGTTGATTGTTCCCCTCAGGCGTCCGTCCCAGGCCGCCCTGGCGGCCTAGACCGCCCTGATCACCCTGATCGCCTTGATCGCCTTGATCGCCCTCAGGTGGCACAGATTTGTGTACTATCGGATTTGGGTATGGATCAGACCAAGTTGCGCTGTAATTGGGTGGAGGGTCAGAAGGGAACACGACCGAGGGGTTTTTGTCTGTCGTGATAAAGGTGACTTTTGGCCGTATGAATGGCGTAAGGGACCTGAAAAAATCCGTTGTGGTTCCTGCTGCGACTTGGGTAACCTCAGGAAAATCTCCCTCTGGCGTTAAAGACGCTGGCGATTCTTCAAATTCCAAACAGTACACTGGGGTCTTGATCGTGGAGTATGGTGGTGTATAGTCAGTTCTATTGCCATAAAAAGTCACCGTCTTAGTGTGAACAATCGAGTAAATCGTCATTGGCTCCTCTTCGTCACACAATAGGGTACATTTCCTCGTGATTGTTGAAGTTGAGACAGATTCATCCGCAGATTTTGGCTCGCCAACTACATAGCAGTCGTCGAAACCTATTGGACATTCCATCGTGACTGTTGTCTGGGCTTTGGCACGGTTGCGATGTGTTGACAGAGGTCGAGTCCCCGTCCCAGTGATGGTGTGATTGAATGCATGCGTAGACCATGGTGGATGCCCATTCTTCGTTCTCGAGGGAACCAGACTTTCTGTACCATTATTCGTGCTTCCATGCTTATCAGATGACGTCTTTCCAGAAGGTCTCTCTTGCGACGTAGAGAAGGGTCCACCGCTTGTGGAAGAGTTTGGTGCTGTGGCTGATGCGATGGGGTTGCTCAGACTTGATGTTGATGGCAAAGCTGAAGAATTGGAGGATACTTGTGGGCGGCTCCTTGATAGGGTCTTCAGAGTGCTTAATTCCGATGGCCATGAATCAGTAGGTTTTGGTGATGGGTCCTGTTGGGAAGGCGGGTCAAGTGATGCAGAGTCATTCGAGCTACCTTGTGATGATGCAGTCGTAGTTGATGAGGATGAGGCTGCGGTTATAAGGTGGCTTATCGATGATGATGATGCTGTAGCGGGGTCTGATGAAGGTCGTTGTAAGCTTTGCTCGGAACTAATAATCGTAGCATTGAGCACTCCACGCGGATATTGAAGGCGGTTTGAGACGTCTGAAACATGTCCATCGCTATTAGTTGAAGTTCTATACACGAGGGTAAGACGCCATGCGAAGGCGCCAGTATCTGGTCCCAACCGAACATACCCGCTCCAGTCCCTGCATAGATAAAGCATGGGAAGAATAAAGAGGAGCCCAGCAGCGCTTTCTTGCCGAACTTCATTTTGATGGAGAACTGAAGGACTGAATAACCACCGCGTCCCAAGACACCGCGTGCGCCACGATAGAGAGTTCCAGTCGCAATGTCGATCAATGAGACATCACCTATGAATCAGCCCCGACAATCGGAGATGGTATCCTCGCATGACTGCCAACCATGAACTGGTCTTCTCCCTCCAAAAGCCAATCTAACCGTTTGGTGTGAGTCGGCGGTAGCAAGTAGACGGTCGATTAGCTCAGATAGGCAACCGCTCGCCAGGTTGGTTCCTAACAAGACCCGAGCTTGGCTCTTCAGCAATTACGAAGGAAAATCGCTGCAAAAGCAACACCGACAAGAAATGGAGAGACAATTGGAAATTAAAAGAGAAGTTGGAGGAAGTGTGTGTCTTGGAAGCAAGCGGGACTCTCGACTGAAAGACTGACAAGGGCAACGGAGGACCAGTCGACGGCCCTCGCCAACTCGCGTACGCGGGTGGCTCAAATGGCTCAAGCAAGTGGGAATAACGGTTCAATAATCCAAGCATTGAACCAGGGGCCCCCAGCTGATGCAAAGACACGTGAAGTAGAGTCGGCGCGGGCGGCATGGCTCGCCTCCTCAACCAAGGACTCCATAGTCCACTTATCAGTCGGCAACGAAGGGCTCTCGCCGTACGAGACGACCAGCCCGACTTGCTGTTGCCACGCCGGTGACTCGTGGCTAGTCCAAGTGAGCGAGTTGCGGCGTAGCGTGCGTCTTCAGTGGAACACAACATCCACAGCTCGAAGCATGCTTGGTGCAGCTGAGGGGCTGGTCCATGGCCAGCTAACAAATTCGGACATGGGTTCGGGCGAACTGCCAGAACGGCACAGGGGCGCTTCCACCAAACGTCAACTAGTGGCTCTGAGGTGGCGGCCTGGGCCTGAGCATTGGCTGATGACGGGCTGACGGGCTGATTGTGCAAGTCTACGGGTCGGCAGAGCCCGCAAGAGCCTTGGCTGCCCGAGTCGAGTCGAGTCGAGTCGAGTCGACCATCGTCGCTTTTTCGCTGTCTTGGCCTCATCAGTCGTTTGCTCTTCACCACAGACATCCATCGCCGCCCGGACGGCATATCGTGGATTGACGCCACATGTTCCCCAAGACGTGCAGCGTTACGGCGTACTCGGTATATTTGGTTGAAGAGATTCCAGGGCTCGCTCTCCTCTGACAATACGACACATGCAGTCCTGGCAAATGAGTTTGACATCTTTTCGCTGGCATGTGGGCCATGGTGCCGTCGGCTGCCCGAGAGAACTTGGAGCCTGTGCTCCCAACTAAACGTAGATCCCGGTCCCCGGTCTGTGGGGAGGAAGATTGATTGCATGTTTAAAGCCAGGTAGTGCTTGCTTGCGAATGAGTCTCGGACGGTTTCACTCACTGCTCTTGAGTTCTAGGCCGTCGAGCCGTCCGCCTTGGCTTTGAAATTTTTTGGAGCCAGTCCAGTCTAGGACATGTTAGACGAGATTATTTTTCTCTTTGGGACGTTTTCACTTGGCGAAACCCATTCAAGAGCCTGTCGTCGGTACGGGGCTCCGGGTGAATCACTAACACGAGCACGTGTTATCGGCGCCTGATGTTCTGCTTGAAGATGTGGAGTGCTTTATTTGTTTCCCATTCATACTCCGTACGGAGTACTATTAAACCGACTTAGCACTTCGTACATGGGGTGCAATGCCAAGCGGATGCCGAGTGATGCTGTCAGATTTGAGTGATTGGCGGCATTGAAGTGGTGGAACCTTCCTTCAGTGGAACAACAACCGGATATTGTCGCGCGGCCGATGAGCCGATGCAACTTTGTGACCTAATTTGTGTTGAATGACTGGAGCCGCTGACTTCCTTTTCTGTAGAGGTGCTGTCCAGTCAAGTGTCATTCTTTTTTCATGGCAGCACACAATCTTCCGGGAGCCATACTTGAACGTTGATGCCACTCGGAAGGGTGGCCACCTGAGACTTTGCCAATGTCAAAATCGCAGCGTTCTGGTTTGAATGTAACGAGTTGATCTTTCCTGGCCAAAGCGACATTGCCGAATATGACGGATGGTCCGTCTGTTGGCGACTTATGGCTGTGTACTCTACAAGTCCACTCCGAAATTCGTACTCCGTTCGCCGTATGGTGTCAGCTGATACTGCATATCTCTGTTCGTGTAGCACGGTGACGGATATAAAACAAGAAGACCAAGAAGAAAAGTTACCTGATTGGTACTCCTGGCTCCGGACTCCGCACATGATAGACATATTCCAGAAAAAAACTAGACCTGCCGAACTGCAGATGTGATGCAACAACACAACATGGCTTGAAGCCCCGAGCCGCTTGCCGTGAAGTTGTAGACGACCTCTTTTTCTTCTTCTCCCATCATTTGCCTAGCCTGCATTTGCCAGGTTGCGTCTTCCCTACCCTCACATAAAAAACCCGCCCCCAAAGAGGCGAAAGTGTGTGACACTCCGACTATTGACGTACGAACCCCCTTACCCTAATGCCCCAGCCATGGCAGGTTTTTGAAAGCTAATCGGAGGCGATAGTCTTGCCAAGCAACCCGCCATTAAGTGTTGAAAGAATTGACTCCAGGCAACAGCAGATCCTATACCCGAGGTATCTTGATTCATCACTGAGATTCTTACACGATACTTATGGCATCGTTATCGAGAAGAAAAAAGACCAGCGAAATCGTTTTCGTATGTTGCCGATCTCAAACATGCATTGGTCTAGAAATTTGAAGGCCGCAGAGCCAATGACAGTTGAGGATGAGTCCACTCGGAAACAGCACCGGGGATCATACTCCATACTCTTCTTTGTAATTGTTGAATGGTCTTCAGCCCTTCAGCTGGGTGCTGTGATAGTCTCCTTCTAATTGCTTGAAACGTACTCGGTCGGAGTGGTCTGTACTTGGGAAGGAGCTGTCAGTTTGAGATGACGGCCCTAACCCTGATCCTTGCCTGGCCATGTCTGATGTCTGATGTTTCCTTGTACGTACCACATTCAGCACCCTGCCTGAAACTAAACACTTGCCTTTTCGGAACAAACTGCTTGGGTTAGGGTTAATATTGTAGTCCCGCGCATGAACGCCTCCATCAATCCCCCAGGAATTCAAATTTGTATGTATCAGATTTTATTGTTACGAAATTGAACCATTAAAGAAGACGTGTGGTTCTCGCAGAACTTGCAATTGCCGTGTTCGAAACGCTAGAGGCTATGGTAAGATAAAGTCTACTACATGGCGAGGCGAGACGAGCCGTGATATGTTGCTGGACAAGGGCCAACCGTAACTGCTTGATGAGAGCTGGTTATGGAGCACTCAGTATGTGTGCGGGGGATTCTCCGTGTAATTACCTTGCTAGTCTCGGCAATACGCTTGCGAAAGATGTACTGAGATGTCGCAAGTCAGCCTAAAAGCCGGATGTGTAATAGAGGTTGCGTTTTCTGGAAGCTTGCGATCCACTCCCCCGTGCCACGCGTACATTCGGAGGGACAGGTGACGAGAGTTCTGCAGTGGCAAGCTCTTTCGAAGGGCAGTTCCGGCCGTACAAGCAGTTCATCGATAGCGCAAGCATCTTGCAGCGTGCATAAAAAGGCGGCAGTTTGTGTTGTTGTGCATGACTGATTGGCGCGATGTGCACTCCGTAGTTATCGACCTTCTCGATTCTGTCGCCTGGCCTTCCAGATCTAGATTGAAGGCATAGACCATGGCAGCGTGGTGGTGGATAGGAGGCCATGTGGCTGCATAATGGGGGCGGGGCACACCAGTCGAGCGACCAGGGCCCAACTCGGCGATGGGGCGTTGATTTCCTGGGCCATGGACGGACTGACTACGTGTTGTAGACAGTCGACAACGATTGTGCCATGGACCCGACGTACATGCGCGGAGAGGGCTTTGAAGGTGACCGTTGTCGGCACGGTGGAGGATGGCGAACCAGAAGAGACGAAAAACTTTGACGTACGGAGTCAGCAACGCGAACAAAACGGCATAACTACGGAGCCAGGCTGTGGAGATTTCCATCTTGGCAGGCAGGTAACGTTGGCTGGCCGGCTCGTGCCTGCCATCTTGCCAAAGGTGGATGGAGACTCACGAGGTGCGCGAAGCTGTCGAGACCCCGCGTATCTGCTTTGTATTTCAGCCGACCTTGACATGCATATTTCGTCTCCAATGCACTGACTCTGCCCATATACGAGTGAGTTCCATATTCATTCACACAGGACTCGCAGTGACGGACTATTATTGAAGGCAGGGTAGGGCGGTCAGGAATGTTCATCCTTGGATCTGAACTCTGCGTTGATGATATTCGTTTTTTTTCTGGCGGTCAACAAGCCTCGTGCGAATGCGCACGGTGAATCGCCAACCTTTCTTTGAGAATGACATATTGATCAATAGAAGACATGGTACCAATATTAACCCATTTCAGGTGCTTTCAGCTCCCTCAACACTCGGCCCTGAGACATTGCTGACCAACGAAGGGACAAAATCGCTTCAGCGTTGGCCCTGAATTAGGATTCATCCATTGCCCTACAAAACGAAAAAAGAAGCCCATCTGGCTCAGTTAGCCATAGCCATTTACCGATGTCTCATAACTTCTGCCCTCCAACAGCAAGTTTGCGAGGTTTCTCACAAGTTGTGATGGAAAGCATCGTGGGAATGCCTCGCCCAATTTATTTTTTTCAAAGGGATGTGGTTCGACATGGATACATCGTCCAGGCTGGCCTGATCTAATAACCAATGACTAAGACTCATTAATTTGACCCTGGGAGAAAACAGAGTCTGGCCTTTTGTCCATTCGCCGCTTAGTACTAGTATCACAATACGGAGCATTCACTGCTGGCTTGGCAGCAGACAGCCTCGGCCAGGCCGATACACGTTCTTGGGACAGATCTTGCCTGGCATCGAGCTAGTGAAGCTTTGATACCAGAACATGACGACAGCTAAGGATAAGGCGCCATCTACCACCTCCCATACGGCATGTGGAGGATAACTGGGAACTGACACTTGTTGTACTCC